TCATCAGGGGAACCTTGGAAACAGTAGGTCTCTGATGAGTTTGCGAGTCACTATAACAAATATGCAGTAGCAGCACCATTCCCGACGTTCGGACATAAACTGTGGGCTTGTTTAATAAATAAGTGAATGTGATCTGTCTATCTTACTGTCCATCTACAAAGCACGGAACATTGAGCCCTGAGGCGCCAGAGGTTTTTCAGAAATGATGTGATGAAGATCTAAAATTGTATGGTAAGAGAGGGGACAGATACAATAAAATAATATATATCAAATAGAAAAAAATATATATAAATAGAAAAACATTTGCGGGAAGTCCGGCCGCTGTGTCCTGGAATCATGAGCTCAACGTCTGCGTTTGGATTGGATTTGTTAGTGGGAAGCTAACGATATTCAGAGCAAAATCCTGAATTCATGTAAATGTTTTAGCATCTATAATGTATTTATTTGAACAGAGACTATGTATATTAATGACATTTAAATGTGCCAGTTTTAGCTACAAAGCATATTTTCAACTGCAGTTTCTAGGCTGGGTGTGAAAGGATCTATGTATATTGGGATAAAACATATGTGTAGCTTTAAACAGTTTACAAATGTGATCAAAGTTGTGAAAACAGGATTTAAAAAATATGTATTTCAGAGAGGGCAGAGAGAGAGAGAGAGATCATTTTTGTGTACTCAGGTTTCCCCAAATATTGAATATAGAAGTCATGGACTTCATTTTGACCATTTCCCTGTATTTTGCGAGTTTCTTGATCAATTTTTTATTTTAATTTAATTGTATTTATTTATTTCAGGCAAACACAAGAGCAACCCAGTTCTAATTAGAAAGGGAGTGGGTAGAAGAGAACTTATTTAATCTCACGCCATGATTCAGAAAACGCTCTTGGTTTCAGTGGGCAATAAACTGCAATTATGCTTCTTGTTGTACATGTTTTTAAGTGTGCCTTTAAATATCTACATCCACTTTAAACTCACCATCACAATAAAAGAATCTAGTAACTAAATTAAAACGCACACTCCTTCTCTTCCACACATTTTTGTCCAATTCCCTTTCATTTTAAACATATATATTTACCATACTGTCATTAGAAAACACACGCTCAGAATCAGGTAAAGAATATGGTCATTCTATATATGCAAATGTAAATGAATGTGTCTGCTGTAATCTGCAACACTGATTTTAATATTATTCTCATGCTATAAATAAGACGAAAATAATATAGATAAATAACCTTTGGTCGTCCCGGTGAGGAAATGTGAAAAAAAAAAAAAAAAAACTGATAACCTGGGAAAAGGACTGAAATGTGAGCCAATGCCACATGCATCAGCACTTGTTAATCTTAACATAATGAATTCTTGCACTGTACTCTCAGTGTAATCCTCGCACTGGGGGCACCTTGGAAACAGTCTGTGCCTATTAAGCCTAGATTCCCAATAACAAGTATGCAGGCATGATGAGGCTCCCCGCTCTGGCCCCAGTGTGTAGACGTTCCTTTGACTGGCTAAATATGCGCAAATGACAGTACGACTTCTCTGTTTGGGATGTGTTATGACAGCCGGCATAAATAATGTATCTTCAGGAAACGCTAAAATATTTACAGATTGGTATGATGTGATGTGGTTTGAAATTATGAGCATGTGGTGTAAGGATGTTTTTCTATTTTTTCTTCTTTCTTTTAAAAAAACGGTTTCCGCTGTGGACACTGCCTTGAAGTGCGTCTGCCTTTAATGAGAGCTCCCGCTAACACAGGCAGAGATGCGCCTCTAGTTTGCATTCCCACCGGCATTATCAGCCATTGACAGCTGTTTGAATGCACCCCTCAATTTGGGGCCCATATTCAGTCCCTTTCATATTTGATGGACAGTTTAGAGGTTTCCGCTGCAAAAAAGGCGTTACATTAAAGAGTGTTATATTCCTATTACGGTATTCAATCATGTGTTTGCTGATAATAAAGAGAATTATTCAGTATTATTCAATGTAGTGATTGACTATTTCTATTCATGCACAACCTGGAATTGCTCCTCTCTCACAAGTGCGGCAGAAGTTTGTTTGCTTGTGGTATGTGCACTTCTGGTCTGACTCGTAAATAAGCACGTATTTAAGTCTATAATGAGGCTTTAATGATATGACGCTTACTGCAAAATAAACGCATTTTCTCCATTTTCATGTATGTCGTAAGTGCTTAAAAAATTGTGACATTTTCTGATTTTCAGCCTTCTAATACGATGTGTTTGCTTCTCCCTCTGATTTGAGACAGGCCTCTACTTTTACATTGTTCAAATCCAGGTTGAAAACGGTTTTGTTTAGCTGTGCAAACAACTGAAGGATTGTGTCTTCACTTTTGTTAATGAGCTGTGATTTATTATTCAATTCCGGTCAATATGTTTTTGTATAGCCCCAAAACACAACAGTTGATTCGCCAACACAAATCATAGAATCCAACAGATCAAGCACAGGAAAAGTAATGATAAAAAAGACATTGGAGCCACGGGTCCATAGGAAGCAGAAGACCCATGTCCATAGACCCTCCTGCAACAGCAAGAAAAAACTCAAAAACCCAGTGGGAAACCTCAGGGGGGTCCACAGGTGCGGTGCAGGATTGAAGGCGGGGAGCCGGGTGCAGACCACCAGTCCAAGCCTAGTACTATCTGGTTTTCCATTTCCTTGCTTTGTCAAATATTGAACTTTCATATTTTTTCTAATAAAATGCATGTATTTCAAGGTTAATGATGCAATGTTTCTGGAGGGGGGGTCCATGACATTTTAGGGAACCTTTTGTACAGCCTCTAGTACAGCATCATAGAAGTGCAGCAGTTTGTGCTTGTCCCGGGTTCAATTCCACCTCCAGACAGGGAATATCTGTGTGGAGTTTGCATGTCCTCCCATTTTCATGACAACAACCAAATATTTTGTTGACTGCATCTTTGGAATAAACAAATACCTCAACGTGATTTCACTTGTTTTTGTGTCTTTTTATGAATGATGTGTTGAAGAGTAATGACCTTTAAAAATAGATAGCACATTTTAATTGATCACTGAATTCATAGATTGTTATTATAGAGGTGCAAGATGATAAAAAGTCCCAGATATTTAAAGAACTATCATTTTCACTACTGTATGTTCATGTACTTATTCATTGTTTTATCTTATACTTTTAAAACCATAAAGCTCGCAGGATTTGTGTCTGAAGTCATGGTCGTGAACCTAATCCAAACTGGCCTGTAAGATGTATGAGGGACAAGTAGCATAGGCAAAGAATCAATGGAACAAGGAATAGCAGACTGGATACTTTAGTTATCATAGAGTATTTTTGTTGAACACATGGATACAGGCATCAGGCTCACATATTATTGCAGAAGTTCCTTTTATAATCTTTTACAAACACCAGGGCGGGGTTGCCAAGTTATTTTGGCTAATGTCCTTTTAGAGAAACTACCTCAAATTGGCCCCATCTTCAGCAATTGTCATAAAGTGTCGACTGAAAGATGTGTTTGTCTTGCTCCACTTCGACGCCGGTAGCGGCCATAATGATCTTTTTGTGAATTCCAAGGTCTGAATTTAAACCTCTGCCAAGACTTACAATACCATACAATACAATACAATTTATTTTTGTACAGCTCTAAATCAGAACAGAAGTAGCCTCAGAGGACTTAACAAAACCATTGAAATCACCAACACAGATCAGAGAATCAACAGTTAAGACACAAAAAGAATAATAGACTATAGAATATAGACCTCTGGGTTCTATCACAAAAATACATTATATTTTTATATGTCACTGAGAAAAAAGGACGTGATGGATGAAAGCGAATGTGACGTAACTTCTGTGAGAATTGTGTGACAATGATGCTTTTAGAATATTTGAGTGATGTTGTCTTAGTGTGTGTTTTAAAATTTAACGACATTTTTTTACATTTAAATATGTATTATCTTCTTTACACTAACTGCTTAGAGATACAGGTGATAAAAATCTGTATCCAGCATCTATCCTATGACTTAAAAAAATAAAAAAGGTACCATAACATGTAGCTTATTCACTCTTGAGGTTTTTTAATAATCTCCATGTTTCTATCATCAGTTAGTATGGACAAAAGTAAAATTGAAAAGTAACACTGGGGGATGATTCACAATCCACTTCAAACAAAGGTCACTTTTGGTGAAGCACTTTGTTATTTTTGACACAGTTTGAAACGAGGTTGAGGATGAAAAGTTCAGACCAATTCCAAATCACCTGTGGCTAAACTGCACACTGCCCTGAGAGAGCGCGCACATCAAAGCTCTAATATGTGGACAGGTGGTGGAGGAGGTGCCCAGGGGCGACCTCCACACAGCTCATCCTGCTGAAGGAGTGCCTACACTGCCCCACCACTGCACTAAATATATAGGAGGCTTAATCTGCCACTGCTATAAACCTCCCAGGATTCCTCCAGGGAGCGCAGAATATGGAGCATCTAATGGTGACTTTTCAAGTGGCTTAGACCGTAATCCATTGTAAAGCTGTAAAGTTGTTAGTTTGTGTGATATTTTAAGCCAGAAGAAAAAGAATGTGTTTTTTGAAGTACGATGTGAATGCTTCAAAAGCAAACCAGCTGAATTCCTTTCAACTATATTTATGAACACATATATCCTTATCAGACCAGTTTTACTGTTTCTTGCTGTTGAAATAAACTATGTTTCTTGTGTAACTCGACCACATTCAGCACCATGGTCAGCTCGCATTGGATATTATTAGCTATACAGCTTTTTGATCCAGTGAACATCCGCCATTTTTGCCAGCTGAGTCGGGTTGGTTAGATGCCCTGCCATAAGTAAAAATGTTGTCTTACTTGTTGTTTTTAGTAGGAGTAGACTGAAGAGTCTAGACTGTAGGCTGAGTTTTAAGTGTTTAAGTTGGATCTTACCACGGATCTGCATTGCCCTTATTGAAACTCTACCACACTTAGTCAAAGTGATGTATTATATTTATGAATGTAGGACAAATGTGACACATCTCATTCTTTCATAGTACGGCACTTGTTTCCGTGTTCAAGTCTTGTGGCGCATGCGCAGTGCTCCGGTTCCTCTGGCTCACATCAGCAGCGTTGATCCTCCATCGGTCCGAGTCCCACAGCTCATGGATCCACAGTGAGAAGCGCCGTCTCTCCGGCAGGGGTAAGACTTTCTCACTCTGCCACATGTGTCCACGGTCTATGTCCACGGTCTGTGTCCACGGTCTGTGTCCACGGTCTGTGTCCACGGTCTGTGTCCTCACGGAGCGACACCAGAGACGCGTCTGTGGCGCGGACCAAAGCAAAGCTGCGCGGGATGACTCACGCAGGCTCATCACTGAGCACTGATAAACAGACACAAAACAGAACCGAGTTGTTTACCCTGGAGTTTCCTCAAATACAGAGGCTCTAATACAGCAACGACAGAGAATGTCAACAAACATCACTTTTGAATGAATTTATTGTTAATGGCACATCCCACACGTTTCCTGCACTACAAAAAGCGTTTCAGTTTATTTATAGGGTTTCAACCATATACACTACATGAGATTGTATTCCGGATTGTAGTGATCACAAAAGCAAACAGGCCGAGCTCATTAAAGTGCACTCCGCTGAAGCAGTAACGCAGTCGCTCACATCTTGCTCTCCACCTGTTGCTTTTCTTTCTGCCTAAACGCCATTTTGTTTCCATATTTAAATTGATCTTTAACTACAATACTCTACCAACCTGTCCATGAGTGTAAATGGTGAGTAATCAGGACAATGTCAACAAAAAAATGATAATGGGAAAGAAAAAAAAAAACATCAATAACATCTGGAAGCATATTGTCTTTTTTAAATAAGATTAAAGAAACATGTTTGAAATTGGTTTTACATCATCATTGATTTTTTCCATTGTATAACGACAGTATAAGTTTGATAAAAGTGCAGATAACCTCATTACACAGTTTGAAGACTAACGCCTCAGATGTGTTTTATTGAATTCTGCCACCCGACATTACATATGTGATTATACTCACATCATCAGCCTCCAATCCACCCGTGGGTTTTATGTCAATCGTTTTTGCTAATCTGAAATCACGGCTCCGCGCGGTCTCTACTTATCAATGGGAAATTAACTACTTTTCATCCAGAAACACACATTTACCAAAGCAAGGTATTGATTTACTTTGAGCCTCATATTTTTTAGTGCAGGGAGAGACACATTCATCACCGGGCCCGCACTTCACTCTTCCTTAAGTTGATGGATGGTAGTTTGTTGGTCATGTTGCAGATTGAAGCCTGACTGGATTACACTCCTGGTTGTGTGGCCTGTTTAAAAGCGTTTGGACACTGGGAATGAGAGGAATCAATCACAAAGACGGACATTGGAGTGTTTGTGCGCCGGGGATAGGGTTATACATGTGAGTCATGCGGGGGCGGTAATAGCAGCGAGACGCCAGCCTTCAATCGTTCACACTGCGACAATACGGCCCTGTGTGGATTTATGGCATGTCTCGGGAAAAGGAAAGGTTTTATTAAGGAAATCCATATTCAGGAGATAAACAATGTGCGTATTACACTGGTCTAGTGGCTGATGTACATACAAATCAACTCTTTTCCAGGTGTGTGTGTATATATATATTTACGTATGTGGGTTACGGGGGAGTGAAGGATAAATGTTGTGTGTTTTTTTTTACTGCAGGAGTTTGAGCGAGAGGTGAGATGGTGCTTTGCTCCAATGCCTGCGCGTCCGGGTCAGGAGGGGAGTCGTCCGGCAGTGAGGTGAGCATATGGGGTTACTGCTCATTCTGCTTAATGTTGTACGCATATGCACACTGGCTAGAAATATGGGTTTGATTATATATTTGTCAGAAATTGTATAGAAAAATCTACAGCTGGTCTGGGATCGCTGTTGCAAAATATGTGGTCTCAGAGTCAGTCCCACCTATAATCCAATCCAATCCAATCCAATCCACTTTATTTATATAACACATTTTATAAAACAAGTTTCCAAAGTGCTGCACAGGAATAAAATAAACACATTTAAATATGCACAAAGTAAAAACAATACAAATGTAATAAAAACTAAACATTAAAATACCAGTAACCTATAAACATGTGATAAAAACAGTAAAATACTAGTTATCCGATTTAAAAAGAACAAAATAAATAAAAACAATAAAACAAAATAAAAAGAGGACCACACAACTCACGCGGTGTTAAAAGCCAGAGAGTAAAAATGCGTCTTAAAGCTGCACTAACTGACTTTATTTTCGTATTAATTACGAAAATGCTATCCATGTCCATGTAGTGCATTGGGATATACGTTCTTTTGAAGAATAATTAGCGCAGATTTGTGCTGGCCTGACATTATATTTTCGATCGAGTTTTGATGAAACAAGGAAGAGAATGTGTTTCGGGTCTCTGATTGTGACCAATCACAGCGGACCACTAGCCCCCACTTTCGTGAGAAATCTACAGGTCCGTTAGCATAGACGGCTGAGTTAGCACAACAAGCGGCGGAGCTAACCTGAAACTTTCTCGTCTTCGTCACCGGTTACTGCTTACACAGCGAAACAGCCATCCAAAAGAAAGTCTCGTTCCTCCGCGCTTCCCGGTTCTATCGTTCTATGGTCACGCCATCCACGTGAAAATCCATATCCATGTATTATCCATATTGGGAGAGGCTAGCTCCGTCTCAACAGTGTGTGTGGGGGGCGATAGCTTCGTGGGTGCGGGGAGGGGAGCAGAAAGAGCGAGGCCAGCGAGTCCGCGGCTTCAAAATCCCAAAGTCAGTTAGTGCAGCTTTAAGACGAGACTTAAAACATTCCAACGAGGGAGCAGTTTTGACGTGGGGGGGCAGAGCGTTCCAGAGCTTTGGTCCAGCCACAGAGAAGGCCCTGTCCCCCCCGGGTTTTAAGCTCGTCTTAGGCACCACGAGCTGGAGCTGGCCCTCGGACCTCAGAGCGCGGGGCGGGTGAGGATGAGGTCCAAGATGTAAGGAGGGGCCAGTCCGTTCAAAGCTTTAAAAACAAACAACAAGATCATAAAATCAATTCTAAAATAAACAGGAAGCCAGTTTAGCCAGGAAGCCAGGAAGCCGGTTTTAGCTGCAAAGAAGCTAAAACCGGAGAAATGTGCTCACGTTTTTTGGTTCCTGTAAAAGTCGTGTCGCGGAGTTCTGGACTAACTGTAAGCGGGAAAGTGCCTTTTGTGAAATCCCGCTGTGAAGTGCATTGCAGTAGTCCAGACGTGAAGAAATAAAAGCGTGCACGACTTGTTCAAAAAGTTTAAAGGATAAAAAAGGCTTTACCTTAGATAAAAGACGAAGGTGATAAAAGCTTGATTTCACGACTGTGCTGATCTGCCTGTCAAGGTTAAAATCACTGTCCATGGTGACGCCAAGGTTGGTGGCAAAGGGATATTCCCACATACATGGGGTTAAATTTCAACCCAAGCGAACTTTCTGTTTTTGTTTTCATGTTTGTATTCACAGCAGGGTTGAAATAAATGAATAAACAAACAAACATACAAACAAATCTTAATTCTCAGGAACTCACAAAATATGTATAAGAAAAGAAAAGATACGATAGACTTTATGGATCTCACACAGGAGAAATTTACATGTCAAATTTGGCATAGCTAAATCACTCAGATATGTGCAAAAGACAGAAGTGTGCAAACATGTTAAAGGTAAAAAATATAGTCTGTTCAGAATATATTATGTACAATAAAAAAGTGGCAATTAAAGAAACAGTGGCAATAGTGACTTTCATTATATCTATTTTATCTATCTAGTCCTTATATAGATATAAAAGGGTCCAGAATAGTTTATCAAATCTACATTTCATCTCCAGTTTATTTGTGTTGTGATATGTACAGCTTGATTTTGTGTGTGTTTGTGTGTGTGTGCTCTAAACTCAGAAAAAAAACAACTTTCCAGCCCTATTTATCACAAAAGAAAAGCTGCAAGAAAGCGAGACAGTGGTCCAGTGACTAGACCACAGCTGAATTTCCTGGGTTCAATTCTCGGGGGACTCGGGGCCTCTCTGTATAGTCTATCATACATGTACAATGGGACTAAAGACCTTGGACGGAGCTACTTCCAGTGCAGTTACAGCCGCACTGTTCCATTCTAATTAATATATCCAGGGAATCTTGGTAGCCGTGGAGGAAGCTCAATAGAATCTGATTAACGAAATATATATCTGAGAGTGAGAAATACTGAAAATGTACCAGAACAAGTCACAAAGTTACTCCATCAGGTGTTGTTTTCTTCACCATCCTTCTCATACATTCTCACACATTCCCAAACAGTGCTTTTTGACCCTGCTCCGTGTGGTCCTCTTGCTCAGGGCGGCTCCAGCTGCCTGCAGTTCGGCGTGCGCTCATACCTGCATCACTTCTATGAGGAGTGCTCGTCCACCATGTGGCAGAGGAACCTGGAGGACCAAGGCTTCGTCCAGAGGTCTGCCCTGTGCTGGAACGCCGCCATCTGGAAGGTAGCTCCTCCTACTCGTGCCGCTCATGTTATACCTTTACACTGTCTTTAGTGTAAAGTATAAATGAGAGGAACGGCTGTCTTTTTGTTTCTTAACATATTTTTCAGGCTCTCAGACAAATCTTAGTAAGAAGGTTTTATGTGTTTGGATATCTCAATATTGAAACAGAAAAATCATTCATTTGAGGGTAATATTACTCTCTCTAAAACACATATTCACTGTAAACAAAGTGAATGGCTCCCACACACAGAAATATATGTTAGCTGAAAATATTCCCGACCTCTGATCTAAATGTTCAATGATGTTTTGCCTGGATATTTATAAAGGTCTGTTATTACATTTTCCCTTTTTTTATTGTGTTAATTTGATTTGGGAAAGCATGGCTCATAAACACACACACACACACACACACACACACACACACACACACACACAGCAATAATTTAGCCAGGGCTCATTCTCAATGTCCCGAGTTGGGCAATTACACACAAAAAAACAGTACAGTTACAAACAACTAGAAAAGTGGAGAAAACACAATATGAAAGACATTTAGATCAGAGATGGTCACATGTCTGACCTCTCAGTAATAAGTCTTCCCCACTGTGGGACGAATAAAGGAATTCTTATCTTATCTTCAGATTGTGTATGAAAAGAACCCAGTTTTTGTCTCCCTACAGTTATACATTGGAAACTGTGGAGTCTTCTCACTGTGAAAAGAATTGGGGAAGTTGGATGTTTGAAACCAAATTGGGCGATCACAAGAAGCTAGTATTGAACAATTTCAAAAATACATATATATACCTTACATTTTGGCAGCAAAGATTATTGATTGAATTCAAGATGAACTACTTCGATCAGTATAACTTGAGCTGTACAGTCAAACGTTTAAAGAGATTACTGAAGGAACCACTAGGTTGGCCCAGTTCAAGTATTGGGAGTAGAAGTAAAATTGTTTGGACAAGGCTTAACAAGCAAATAAACACAAACATGTTTAATTAAATTCCTTGGAAGAAAACAAAAATCCTTGTCTTTTATATGAGATAGAAAAGTTGGTTCTAATTTCCGAAATGTTGTTTGTGGACAGTGACTTCAGCACCACGGACAGCACAGAGAGCGCAGAATACTAGTGTGTTCTCTACAGTCGCTCATTGACTTCTGTGATAAACATTATGCTAGAGCAGTTTTACTCCTGGTTGCAATAAGCTACACCTGGACAGTGTAAAAGGAATCTAGCTGAATTCAAAATTTGTGCGCAGTGTGCAATTCTGAATGCTGTCTCTGCAGTATCACCTACTAACAGTGGTGTGCTGATATTTGTCAGCCACCTGCACTTTTGGCAATTAGGAGGATTTTTTTTTTCAACCACACAAACAACTGTATGACCTTATTATAACAAGAAGAGATTCATGCTTCCCAATGAGAACGTATAAAGAGGAGGCTTCTTGTTGTTATACTTATGCTTTGTCTTTAAGACTTTATCAATGACAAAACAATCTGACAGACACATTTACCTTCTCTTATTTCTTTCCGCCAATAAACAAAAAGCACAAAAAGCAAAATCCTTCATTTAGTGAGGCCTTGGCCAACCTTGATTCAAAAATATTTGCTTGAAGGCTCCTTTGCTGTTTCCTAACAGGAAATTCTGAGGATACATAGAGGATACATACTACATGCAAAATCTCTCTTCTCTCTTTGAGCTCTTCATAAACAGAGAAATGTATATTTTCAACCTAAAGTCAGCTGTCACATTAAACATTTTTAATGAATAAATTTAAGACCAATAGACTAATGATCTCCAAGTGTTTTTCTATCTCGCATGCAGATAAAACACATGATATTTTTCGAATAAATTATGTATGCCTCTGCAAGTGGTCTTTCAGTGGGTTTGATCATGTCCATGGGTTTCAGGGGGGTGAATAATCAGAACCATTGCCATGGCGATTAAATATTCAAAACTAAATATTACATAATTTAATGAGGAATAATGTTGATCTGAAACTCATGAATATGCAACAAATGTACAACTAATGTTGACATATTTTACTTTGTTGTTTTACATTGTTAATGTGTGTGTGTATATGCCGTGTGTGCGTGTGTGTATGTGAATGTGTGTATATTCGGTCAATATTAGCAATGTTTTTGTCTCAACTTAAGGCTTGAATTCAAAACTTTTAGGCAAGATAATGCTATGATTTAGAAAAAAAAGAAGAAAAAAAAACTGGAATCCCTATTTGTTAGTGTTGTTTATCTCGAGGTGGTACAGTGGCTGAGTGGATTGCACTCTGGCTTCTCAGAAAGAATGTCCCAGGATCTTTCTGAGTGGAGTTTGCTTATTCTCCCCGTGCCTGGGGAAGGTTCCTCCACCACTAAAACATGCACAATAGGGTGCTGTACTACGGCGACCACTGCCCCTGATAGACCCCTTAGTGGCATCAGGAAGGGTCAAATGCAGAGGATGACTCGCCCTACAGGGATTCATAAAGTGCAACTTTACATTTACCTTTAAAAAAAGAGCTGTATAAAATCATGTTATATTTATCTCATAAGTAAACATGTTATTGTTAGCAAATTCTTGAAAGAAGGAGCCGTGTGAGTCACTATTGATGCTTTGGCCTGATTTGCTGTGATGTGAGGGTCGTCCACTCTGAAAGTTAGATATCCCAGCTTTAAAGTCAGAAAAAAATCAACTACAACCTATTGTATATTTATTCCACGTGTGTAGTATGTATGCAGTATGTAGTATATATGCAGTATGTAAGTGGTTTGTATGCAGTATGTAAGTGGTTTGTATGCAGTATGTAAGTGGTTTGTATGCAGTATGTAGTATGTATGCAGTATGTAGTATGTATGCAGTATGTAAGTGGTTTGTATGCAGTATGTAAGTGTCTGTATGCAGTATGTAAGTGTCTGTATGCAGTATGTAAGTGGTTTGTATGCAGTATGTAGTATGTATGCAGTATGTAGTATGTATGCAGTATGTAAGTGGTTTGTATGCAGTATGTAGTATGTATGCAGGATGTAAGTGGTTTGTATGCAGTATGTAGTATGTATGCAGTATGTATGCCTTCTTTGCTGCCCTGGACAAAGTAACTAACAACTATGTTTCTACGGTGCAGGTGTCCATAGCCGTGGGTCTCCTCATCCTCACAGCAGGAGTCATCAGTCTGTCCGTCGGTTACTCCACTCCGCATAAAATCGAGTCTTTTGGGGAAGGCGACCTCTTCTTTGTGGACAACCAGGCTATTAGTTTCAACCGGGGGCTTCACCAGAGCAGGGCGGCTGGCATCGGGCTCTCTTGCCTGGGTGTGGCGCTGGCTGCCATGGGGCTGGTGGTCTGGGTCCTGCCCTGGGCCGACTGGAAGAACAGGCCATTCAACAGAGCAGAAAATGGGGAGAGCAGGAGGGAGTGGATGCCCAAATGGATGGGTTTCACAGACGCAGGGGATGTAGTCACCAATCCCCCGGTTTTAGACAAAGAAAAAATCCCTGTAACTCTGTCCAAAGTGGAAAATGTTCAACCAGCTTCGTAAAAAAAAAAAAAAAAAACCGTAATAATCTTCACAGAGCAACATGTTTGGAGTTTCTTGCAACACGTGGTTATTAGCGTGGTGTAATGTAAATGTATATTCACTCTTGCTTTAACAGTTCTCCCACGTGACTATGGAATGTTTTTCTTCTTAATGGAATCAAAATAAGTTGTACCTTGAGGCGTCATTGTGATATTGTGAGGCAGCCTAACCGTGGTCGTGCTAGCAGCTATTGTTTTATGAAGCTAACAATCGACGACAGACTTTACAGGTTTAAATAATAATGTTATATTCAGGTTACCTTGTTTGTTATGGTGCTGCATTAGGGGTATTGTGTGTAAAATATAGTTGAGAAGGGTCTGAGAATTGTGGTAAATGAGACCTAAAATGAATACTTAACCTTTTCTGCGCCAGCGTTTTTGATTTGATTTGGAATTTGATGCGGGAAAAGATGGCGCCCTAAAGCTGTTTAAGAGATAGACTACTGTATTCAGAAAGAAAAATAGAAAAATACGACCAAAAAATGCATAGATATGTAAGCCGTTGTATAGAAAGTGTCCTGGATTAAAAAGCCAATTCTGCCACTTTGTCATAAATATTGTGTTTTAAATGTTATAGTTTTAACAGTCTATACACAATTTCGTCTGGCTATATCCTGAAGTAAAAATATAGTATAAAATATTAATCATTCTCTAACAAACCCTTTCTCTTCATTAACAGACACTATCCCTAATAGATATGATATATTTTTCTGTATCAATATATTTTGTTATATGTATATATATATGTGTGTGTAACTGCCTTGTAGTTCATTAGCCATCTCCAAATAGAAAAATAAAAATCTTGAATGCCATCATTAGTACACGCGGGGACGGTATAATTAACATGTCTTATTAACATTTCTTTTTTCTTTTTTTCCTCAAATACAGTCACACATATCAGTAGCGTAAAGTAATTCAGTCGCACACACACCCACACACCTCCACACATGAATCTCCATTGACAAGCTCCCCTATTTTCTCCCCACTGTAATCTTGCCCAGTAATTGCCTGCAACCTGTGTCTCTAGGCAACAGTTGGGCTTCAAGTGTTCTATTTTTCCAACTCCGAACAAAGACTGTATTCTCATTGGTCCGTCATCGTCCTCATACTTTGTTTTCACACCAATCGTGATTTTATCCAGGCATTAGCCGGTCCGGAGTGAGTGGTGAATTTGCACTGGCACCGTGGAGACTATTATTACACTTTAGTCCAATTAGTTTGAAAATTGCAGAGAGGAAAAATCTATGAAAAAAATAAAGACAATTGTGACCTGGCGTTGTGTTATCGACCAAATAAACTTGTGATCTGCAAATAAGCGCTGTCTAGACTGGTCATTGATTTCACTATATAGTGCAGAGTGGAGAGGTGTGAGGTGGTGCTGTCCTCTGAAGACTCCCTGTCACTGTAGTGCGGCTTCTTCTAGCGTTTAAAAACACAGATTATTACAAAATCATGAATTGTGAACGTTAAGACAAAAAAAGCTGCACTAGCATTTTGATGTACACTTTGTGGATTACTTTAATCATGTCACTAAAACAGGAATTGGTTAAAACAAGACACGTTTTGATTTTCTCATTGGGAAGCAACCATTCCGCATAATGAGGTAATTCCATAACTGTAACCAATAGCAACCGCAGTGTAAAGAGTGTCATTGATTATATCTACGCTTTTGCATGTATGAGTCAGTTACGTGTTTTTGGAGACAGTGACTTCAAAGGAAATTTGAATGACATTTTCCTTTGCTGACTTGTCCCAATTGACCCAAAGTACACATTCTGTAGAACTCATATGAAAAATGTTGGTATATAATTTGTTTTTGCAGTTCGCCTCTGAGAACAATCTGTGCAAACTTCGTGGATAACATGTAAAAGTGCGTCACTTGCTCAAAATGAATAGTTGATTCCTCAAAAGCAAGTTTTCATGTCAATGAAACTGTCTTAGGCATTAAAATATAGCCTCCTTACACCATTTTTTATGAACAAGAGTCAAATGGTTTTGTCATGTTTCCACTGTGACAGTTTACTCTCTCTGTGTTTCCAATGCAAAGAAATCAGAACTTGGTGACACTACCTGGAAATGCTCAAGACAGCACTAAACACTATCTGTATAGCCAAAAACTACAGTATGGAAGAGCATTGTTGTCACACAAAAGTATATAATTATGCGTTACAATATTAAATGAGTGACAGTATTAAATGGAAATGATAAAACTAGCCTTATTGATCAAAACTCAAACCTAACTCGCTCTCAAAACAGTTAACTTCTCTCACCAGTTTTCACATGAATGTATTTGTGGCCTCTATCAAGTCTTTAAATCGGCTTTTTCAGACAGAGAAGTGAAAAAGAGAGGACAACCCTCACTCAGCCACAATTAATAAGAAGATAGAAAACAGTATTTTGCGATCTGATTTGTTTACTGTAAAAATATGTACTTTTACACTTATAATAAAAATAGTTGTGACTTACGTAATGCAATGTGCACACATCAAATAAATATAAAAAGGGACATTTTATGACAGTTACATGATACATACAGAGACAACAGAAAGGAAACCCTCAGCAGCAGGCCTTTTGTTGAGGGAGCCCACAGTGAGAAACACCCCCATATATCAGCCGCGATGTCAGCCACGTCACACTCCATTGATCAGTCAGGGGGGTCAGCAGGACACAGTGGTGGCCCCCGCATGGACACGGACCAATGGTGGCAGGACATCAGGACAATTCATCCCAACAAGACTCTTTCTGTCGGGGAAAAAAATACAATAATGACATATTTCTAAATATATAGTGCAGCTTGCCTGAGGGGTCCAGAGGTGTGAATGTGGTGAATGAGTGTGGGATCGGACATTTTTCCTGTAATGAACCATCCTCAGAAGGAAGTGGTTTATGGCTATGGATAGATGGATAGATAGATAGATAGATAGACAGACAGAAGATGGACGGATGGACGGACAGATAGATAGTCAGATGCATACAGTAGATAGATAGACAGAAAAAAAGACGGGCAGATAGATAGTTAGACGGATGGACGGATGAGTACTGTACATAGACAAATAGTCAGATACATAGATAGACAGACAGAAAGAAAAACAGACGGACGGACGGATGGATAAATAGTCAGATAAATATTTAGCTAGATAGACAGAGAGGCAGACAGACAGACAGACACGCAGATAGACAGACAGATAGATAGTTATACAGACAGACAGACGGATAGATAGATAGTCAGATACATAGATAGATAGACAGACAGACAGACACACAGAAAGACAGACAGATAGACAGACAGACACACAGAAAGACAGACAGATAGATAGATAGATAGACAGACACACAGACACACAGAAAGACAGACAGACAGATAGTCATACAGACAGACAGACAGACAGACGGATAGATAGATAGTCAGAAACATAGATAGATAGACAGACAGACAGACACAAAAAAAGACAGACAGATAGACAGACAGACACACAGAAAGACAGACAGATAGATAGTTATACAGACAGACAGACGGATAGATAGTCAGATACATAGATAGATAGACAGACAGACAGACAGACACACAGAAAGACAGACAGATAGATAGTCAGATACATAGATAGATAGACAGACAGACAGACACACAGAAAGACAGACAGATAGATAGTCAGATACATAGATAGATAGACAGACAGAAAGACAGACAGATAGACAGACAGACAGACAGACAGACAAACAGATAGATAGTCAGATACATAGATAGATAGATAGACAGACACACAGAAAGACAGACAGACAGATAGACAGATAGTCAGATAGATAGATAGACATGTTTAAAAAAGTATGGTACCCCAGCTGTGATAAACTATGTACAAGAATCAATAGAACAGCTGTAAAGAATAAAGTGCTACTGCATTGTAGCCGTGATCCATGAGCACACATGCTTCAAGCTAAATGATGGCCGGTGCTAAACATGTATGAATTCAACATGCTCTTCGTTAGTGTCACAATTGGCTTTTAACCGACGGATTTGAACAGACAGCATAAAAGCGCGGCCTGCAGTCGAGGGGTGATGCCTGATGGGAGTTCATTAATCGTGCATGTGTGGGTTCAGCATGACTAGTCTGAGAATGTTCTGTGTGGAAAGACTTTGATCAGGTGCGTCACATGTGTATGAGTCATCTCCAGGTCCCGCTCTGACAGAACGACTCTCCAAAAGTCATTCACACGAGCGGCTGTAAGGCTGCATACATCCAAACAGCCAGCTCCACTTCTGATGCCTCATTTATACTTTGGTCTTCAAATGATCTGGCAGCGGTTGTCAAATGGCCTCATACCATCACACAAACGAAATATCTGTCTGAGGCTGGAACCAAAATATCACATTTTACAAAACAAGCTCATTCATTTGGAGGAGGTAATCTTCTTGCTGACATATACCTTGAGGGGACTGTATGATTTGATTTTAAATCTTAAATACTTTTTATGTGTGTCGTCAAATAATAAGTATATCATGTACAAAAAAATTTCAGAGGAGGTTCTATTCATAATAGACATGATGTCAATAATATTTATGTTTACAAGTTTAACACAGATTATCCAATAAGAACCAGAAGGAGGCCCTCATTTGGGTTGTCAGTTTGTTAGGTGAAAATGAAACATATAAATAGAGCAGCTTCCATATAAACAGAAGCAGACACAAAAATAAGTAGTTATACCTGATAATAAGTTTGTATCGTTTCTAGCTAAACTCCAACAGGTGGTTGCATCTGTAATTAGTGTTGAGGAGCTACATGTGTCACAGGCTGGAGGATTCTGGCAACAAATGTTGAATTTTAATTTTAACAAGTTTTTTCAGACCATGAAAAGTGAATAATACATACTTTAACGCAAGCACAACAAAGAGTGAATTTAGCGGGGCAAAGGCTGCTATATAATATGGCCGCTATTTGGAAGTACACAGCTCTAAGGAGAGTGGAG